ATTAAACGTAATATACAATATTCACTCACCCCCAATTCATCCCCAAACCATTTTTGTTTTCTCTCCTCTCCACCTCTCTACCCACCACACACATACCCACCACCGTCGTCTCTGCTCGCAGCGTCCTTCTCCCTTTACCCTCCTTCTCCCGCTCTTCCGACTGCTCCTCTCCCTATCTTCCAACGGCTCATTCCCAACGTCACTACTCCCATCCCGCGCCGGCAGTCCTCTAACGTGCACCGTGAGTCCCCAGTAGTTTTAAAAACGTTGACCAATTCCTCTGCCGCTATCTTCCCATCACAATCGGAAACAAAGAAGTCCAATCTCCCTCAACAAAGTTTTCAGCTCCTCTTTCTTTACTTTCCCAGTCCCTTCCATGTCTATCACTTCAAACGCTAGAGGCCAGATTGGGATTCGTGGGAGGAAGACGACGTCGTTTGGAAGCTGAAGGAAGACGGATCGGTCTCAGATCTGGAAACAGGCCGTGATTTTTTGGACTTGAAAAGCTTGTTGGGAACGATTTTGATGAACGAAAGGTGAGAGAGAGAATGGAGAATGGAGTTTTGTGGGAAACAGAGAGAAAGAATCTTGGGTTAAATTGAGGGAGATTGTGGTGAGCCATAGTGAGCTTCCTCTTCATTGAAGCTTCGAATAATATCTCAGAATTGATTGCTGGAAACTTCAATGCAATTAAACTTTCTTTCATCTATTTTTTGTCAAATTATTCATTTTGAAATTTACCACTTGGACAGTATTATTACCACGGTGAGGCGCTCGAGCAGACTCAGGAACCAGGTCATTTATTGCATCTTTTGTTGGTATTTTAATTTTATTTCATGTGGGATTTTATTGTTTTCGGATGTTGCTCTTTTCTTCTGCAATAGGGTATGGTGATGGTTGTGGGTGTAAGGATGACTGGATTGATGTGGTGGTGATGGAGGCATAGTCGGAGCCGCTGCAGAGTAAGAAAGCTGCAACCGGAGTTGGTGGTGTCGACGAACATTTTCTAATCTATGACCAGATCGCGATTTGACTATCGGGTAGTTCGTTGTGACTGTTTGTGACCGAATGTAACTGTTTGTGACCGATTGTGCCCTTTTGTGACCGATTGTGACTGGTGAATTGTGACTCGTTGTGATCGATTGTACCCTTTTGTGACCAGTTGTGATTCGTGGTGACCAATTGTGACTAGTGATGGCAAAAAAACCCGCCCCACCCCGACAAAGTAAATAGATATTTTCACTTCAATCTTTTTATTTATTCAATTTTCAAAATTAACTTAAAAATTCAATTCATTATTAGTATAATAATTTTAGACACCATTTTCTATAAGTTCAAACGATTTCAATTTTAACAAAACAAATTAGTTTAATATATTGATTGTTAGTTCTTGAAGTGTCTATACTAAGAGTGTGTTAGACACATTCTTTTGAAAGAATGTACTATTAAATAGTAGATTGATGGAGAATGTATAGTTAAAAATGAAGGAAAAGTTATTGATGTGATGAAAAATATTATTTTATTGAAAAATATGTGATTGAAAATGAATAGAAAAATGAGAATGGAAAAAATAATGTGGACAAGGCCTAATTGTACACTAATAAATCTAATTTAAAAAATTGATTTGTATTTAATTTGAATTAATAGTTTGAAATTTTTTTAAAAAAATATTGTAGTTATAGTATTTAGTATTTGTGTGTATTTATTTATTGCATCCGCTTCAATCCCATGGTAAACCTTTTCATCTTTGACCTTTAACATTTTAAGATCGATCTCCTGATCCATTTTCAGAACATCGTAAAATCTAACTAATAAGCATGCAAATCATTCTATCTAAATTACTCAATAAATTTGTCGGTACATTCCTTTTATTAAATTCAAATCTAAATTCAAACAGAAAATTAAAGGAAAATAATAATAATAAAAAACGCCATTATTGCGAGAAATTTCTGAGAATTCAATTCAATTCAAAAATCAGAGCACCGACCGTTCTTTTCCCAATCACCGTAGCGCGTCGGCTCCGGTCCACGGGGGCCGCCGATTTCACCGGTCACTTTGTTTCTGTAACCGTCGTCCTCGTCATAGTCTTTTGGATCGAATTTCTTCTCATCTTCGTTTTGATTCTGAGTCTTCTCGTTGATCTCGGAAACCGAGGTCTCTTTTTTCTCTTGCTGCTGGATTTGCATATGCTGAGTCGTGGTGCAGATAACTCGGCGACTCGTTGAGTTGAAGAACTCGGATTTGACGAGTGTCGATGAGAATAGACGTCCCAGATTTGTCGCCATTTTTGCTTGCTCCAATTTTTGGAGTCACCCAAACAAATACGGAATTAATTGCCGGAGAATAAAAAGAGGTGTATAGTCTGATAAAGAGTGGCGGGCGCAGCCTACTTTTTAGGCGGTGAACAATTGTGTTACATGGTTTACCGGACGACGTCGTGTTAGCTAGGAGAGTTGACACGTGGAAAGAGACTGTTCAATAGAAAATGTCCCGAAGAATTGAATCTGTCTGATGGGCTCTATCCCTAGTTGGGCCTATTAGGACCAAGCTTAAGCCTCTAGTCTTGAACTCTTTATGGATGCCGATAAGGGCCCAATATAGCCATTTTATAGGGGTACTTACAAAAATACCCTTAAAATTAAGAGTCTTTTGAAAAATCATATGAAACATATTTTCAAAATAAAAAATACTGTATAAAATTAATTGTCACTTTTTTTAATAGAAAAAGTGACACAATAAATAAAATAACATTGAAAAAGTGACTCGCTATCACTTTTTAAAGTTAAGTGACATCCAATGTCACTTTTATTAAAAAAAAAAAAAGATGTCTGTCACTAAAAAAAGTGAGAGAAATTTCAAAGAATTGACAAAAAAAGTAACAAACATTAAAAAAGTGATAAA